GGAAGGTGACACTCGGGAAGGGCCTGGCGTGAAGAGGGACCGCGTTGCCTTTGTGTTGTGCTTGGTGTGGGGAGGACCATCCCACGGGAAGCAGGAGAGCACAACTAAGTGGGAATGAAGCATCAGAGAAGCCCAAGCTTGGCCGTTTGCGGCCAGCCCCGGTGGGCACCTTGGCAGCCACCTTGCTTTTTCCAAACCATTTTGCAATTCACTATCTGCAAGTTTATTATGGGGGAATCTGGCTTCTTGCCAGGTCTTGCGAATTAGAGCCCACGTCTCACCCTTCGACTTTCCCTCCCCGATTACAGGTCACCAGCAGCAGCTCCAAAGCCTGACAGGAGCACGGAGCGCCCGGCTCGGGGACGTATCGTTAACAAGTTGACAGCCGTTTCAGCAGGTTGGCGACGACGCGACCCACCGGCACAGCATCAAACGGAGCCTGCGAGCTCTGTGTTATTTCATGCTCCTAGTTCGGTAGTTGCTGAAATCTCCGAGCGGGCAAGGTATTGCACTTAAGGAAAGCAGCATCGGAAGCCTCTTCTCCAAAGACCTTCTGGTTGAAGGGAGGACACTCCAACAGCAGGTTAGTGCCCAAGCCAGCTGGAATTTCACCCTCCTGCTCTCACGGAGAACCTCGGCTCTGGATTCTCCACGTAGACATCTCCATGCTCACCCTCAATGTCCTCTGGCAACACGACTGCATCCCCAATGCCACAACGTCCTCCCCGGAGCTCGGCTGGGAGCATCCCGGCTTTGCCCAAGGGGCTCCAAGCCTGGCGCCCAGGGAAGCTCTCCCAGCTGGATTTTTGGGGGACACTTCCCCCCAATTTCAGCTCTCAACCAAGTCGGGCCTGGATCAGGGCACCCTGCCCCTTAACGCAGCTCTAATTACATTAAAACAAAAAGCTTTCGCGAACACGGGGAGAGGCCGGGGAGAGAATGAGACAACCTATAAATTAACCCGGAGGATATGAATACCATGCAGGCTGCAGTGCTAGGGTTAACGCGGGTCTGGAAGCAGTTTAGTGCAAACCTGGCGTGGCCAGGGGCCAGCTCCGAGTTTAGTTGCTTTGGGCTAATCGTTTCCTTCAGGCAGGCTACTCTAGCACACTAATAGGTTTTAATAAAAACTTCCAATTGGGCCAGTAAACCCCTCATTAAGCTGTTTTTAAAGCATGAATTTAAGAGCGGCGAGGGTAAAAGGTCACGAGGAGTATTTAATTCACAACGGCTGGCAAAAGGTGCTGTTGTGATTGAAAACACCAGAGTTCAAGTGTCCAGGGCCACATAAACATCCGACTCTGTCACTAGACCTGGTTAAGTGACAGCTTGAAAAATAGATTTAATAAGACAGAGAGAAAAGTTTCCCACTCTTACACGAGAAATAGGAACACCAGATCACAATATGAGCCAGGGAATGACCGTGCTCCAGACCCTCCCATCCCGGGGAGGAGGAATATTGGGTACGGCCATATGGGTGTTCCAGCCCCACTGCGATTCCCAGGGCCCTGCCGGGACCCTCGTGCTGTTCACGGGACACAAAGTCCTTCGGAGGGCCCGGCCAGGCCAGCACCCGTGTCCCACTGCCGTGTCCCCGTGTCCTGCTGCCGTGTCCCCGTTGCCATGTCCCCGTGTCCTGCTGCCGTGTCCCCGTGTCCCGCTGCCGTGTCCCCGTGTCCCCGCTCACTCATGTGCCCTATGCACAGCTGAAGGAGCAAATGTCACCTGGGCTAACTCAATCCCTCCGTGGTACCATGCAAAAACACAAATCTTCCTCTAGCGGCCTCTTCCTAGGACACTCAGACAACCCCAGGGCGCATCAGAAGCAACAAACTGCTCCGTTCGGGGCTCAATTCAACCCTGACATCCCCGTCTCTCACCGCACTGCAGGTTACTACTGATCTCTAGAGCTCTGCTGGTGAAGTTTGACCTTCCTCTTTTCTACTCAGCCCCTTTTTTCTCTTCCATGACCTCAGCAATTCTCTCGCCCCTAGTGCAGCAGACGTGAAAGCTTCACCCCTTCCTCCGCAACCCACGCGCACAAAGGAAAAACATCTCAGTCTTGAGCAGCACAAGCCAGAACCCCAGCTGTGCACTCCACCAGTTCATTTTCTGTCAAGGCACATCTAAAATTCAAGATCCCTGAAGACCTTTTAAAAGAAAATCCTCCCTGGAACAATTTGCATTGAAGTAAAGAGTGAGGATTTAACAAGTAATGGAGAATTATGTACATTTGGCTCTCAACTTTTTATTCTATTTCTAATCAAAACACGGTTCATGTTAACTTCTGAGATAATAAATGCAGTGCAAAATTTGGGGGCAAGCCTAGGTAGGAACTAATTTATTTGCAATTTCCATGTTTATGAATAATGGAAAAGTTACAAGTTTTACTCTATATTCGGTGAACTTCTAGTTGTCATCGTTCCCTACAGAAATTAGACAACAAGGTCACTGTTAGAAACAAAAGTATCGCTCATCCTTTTAAAATGGATCACTCTAATAATAAACTTCCAATTAAACTTCCAATTCTGTCCATACAGGTTGGCCTATACATCAAGCCAGGTTGACTTCTGGATATCTGGTGCTACTTAGCACAGTAAAAAGGCAGAGTAAAAGAAAGAGGGTAAGAGAGATTTTCAAAGGGCATCGTCTTTGTCAAAGCCCCTGCTAGAACAGGCGTAACCTGAAAATATTAGGAGGAGGTCACTACATTAAATTGGGAAATCAGGCCTCAAATGAAAAAACACATCCTTGTGGGGGTAACTCTAACAGAAACAAGTGGGATGACCAGGAACTACTGCTCTGGAAAAGGCAAGTCTTGCTCAGAAAAAGTCAGAAACAGCCAAGCTGTCCACAAGGGATCCATGAATCTCCTGAGTGGTTTTAGGATGGTTCTAAACCAGCAGAAAAAGATGGCCTTGAAATTAAGGGGGATAAAATAACAAGCTGACCTTGGCAGTTCTTCCCAGCCTCTGCATCACGGCAGGGCCCTCCGGAGGGTCACTCGGTGCTAGAGCCCTCAGGCCGGTCCTCCAGCACCGCACGCTCACCGAAACGCTAAACCTGAGGCCCAGTTTATATCTGAATAACAACAAATAGAGCTGAGAAGTGATTACAACCCAACTGGGTTCAGGGCAGCTCTAATTCGCGGGCCCGTGTTGCACGCGGCCGCTCCACAGCTCCGTCCCCAGCGCGAGGGGGGTTTCCAGCAGCTCTTACCTGGCAGCAGCAAGAGCAAAGAGCAGAACCTGCGGCAACACCAGCTGATCCCATTTGGCCTAACAGCTTGTTGTTATTTCCAGGCTCTGGAGTTCTTTAAAATTCATGGGGACAGCCTGCAGTTTTAACAGAGGCTACCAAAATCCATCCTAAGATGTATCAAAAAAAGCACACTTCCTGGAGGGGAATAGGAAACAGTCAGCATTTACAGAGATCTCCCCGGGAACTTTTTTAAGATCCTTCTTTGAAGTAGATGCTACCAAAGACTAAGGCTTCCAGAGCTCAGCAATATTTAATGTACTTCCACGGCAATGGATGACAATGTTGTTGTTTCAGCTATATTATAACAAAAATATTGTGGTTTTCCTGTATTCTAACAAAAGTAGCTTAAGATTTACATCTCATTCATCTTATTCTGAAATAGCACTTCAGCCAAAAACAAGGAAGGGAGAGACCCTACTGCGAACAAAGGACTTCACTAACCCTTTTAGGGTGGCTACACGAGGCAAGAGGAAAAGAAAAAGACAATTGGGAAAAGCACTTTTTCTTTCTTTCTTTCTTACTTTTTCTTACAAGCCTCGATGAAAGCAGAAAACATACCCAGGAGATGAATGCCTGCAGTTACAGCCAGGGCGGGTGTCCCCACAGGCTCAACAAAAGCGCGTATTCACACTGGTTAAAATAAAGATCCACATCAGACCTGGACGCGCTATCGAAAACACACAGGAGTAAAAGCAATCCCGCATCCTCCTCCGCTTCTGCACCTGGCCCAGCATCTCCTCAGCGAGCCCCGACGCTCCGCAGCGGTCAGGCCCCTTGTGCCCGATTCAGATGAGGAATCAGTAGACGAGGAGGAGGAGGGTGCGATTCCTTGCAGGAGGGGAGGAATATCAGTTATCGGTGCTGCAGGTCTCAATAACGCACAGACACAAATGGCTTTAACTTTTTAATGCCTTATATGAGGCTACAGAATTTCTGTTTGTGGCTCGGGAACACGGCTCCATCCCTCATGTCCGCAGTGACAGAGCTCTCCTCCCCACCCTGCCCTTCAGCACAGCGAGCACCAACTTGCAAAGCTGAGTACGTCGCACTCCAAAACAGGCTGATTTAGGACATTTAGGACATTCTGCCATGCCAGCACTTCCCAGAAAGTCAAATATATACTAGTAGTTTTCCTAATATTTTTGCTAAGAGGAACAAGTTTTCTACTGGGACTTCTAAGTTTCCATTTGGACATCTGACTGTGGGCAGGAATACTTAGTGCTGGAACAAAAACAAATGTGTGCAAAGCAGTGTAACAAATATTAATCAATCTCGCAGACCTCGGAGGGAATAATACCTGAACCGCACACCAGCGGGAAAACAAGTGAAATGAATATGAGGTTCTTGATGTTAATACAAATCGCTGGTGGAAATGGAATTAGAATTTGGGACCTACCGATTCCCCTCTCACAGGAATTGTGTTTTAGACCTTGCTTAACTTTATAATCCCACACTTATTTAACTATTCATTCCCAATGTCTTCCCTCACCCCCAAACGATGCTGGTGGTGGTTACTCAGCCTTCCACCAAGTTTTGGGCTCAATTTACACGTTTCATACCAGCTTTCCTTAAGGACATGCAGATGGAAAGAAATTCAATGAAAGGAGGAGAAGAGAGACAACTGTAGCTTAAATATTTGAGAGAGAAAGAAAGGAAAAGCTAGAGTAATGTAAAAGCTACATACCCACAAATGCACCAATAAATTACTACTGCAGATTTTCGCTTTTATATTCACTTACCAAAGGAATACCTGCAAAACAAAATGAAGAAAAAGCAAAGACGTTAAAATGTCAGTTGACCAGTCTCTTGGACATATGACTCATAACTTTATTTCAAACCTTTGTATTTCCAAACACAGCTCTCGGAGTAAAAAAATCACAGAATGCTTAAATGCTTAAAATGCTTAAAAATGTTACCTAAACCAATTAGCTATGAAAAATGTAATTCAAAAGCACTAATGGCAAACTGTTGCTCAAGAGGTCCTGCTGGCTGGAAGCGTAGGATGTGCAAACCCATCCCTTTTGGGATGAACTAAATCATTTTAGTACCAATAAAGCTACTAAAGCAGCGTACCCAAAAGAAACAGCACCGAGACAACAAGGGAACCAGGCCAGTCTCCTGCCACAGGGGAAGGCGTTTCCCAACATTTGCCTTCCCCAGGAACATCAGCTTTTCCGGGAAACTCTCAGGCTTCCTTCTTCCCCACCCAGAACCCACCGTGCACTGGAGCTGTTTGTGATGCTCAATGAGGCTCCACTGCAAGGTTAGTTATTCACCGTTCCCAGAGCCCTGCGCGCTTCCCAGAGGGAATTCCAGCAGCCTATTCCGGAGTTGTAAAGGCCTCGGGGCTTAACATGTATTTTTGCTTGGATGGAGCCCGTGCTGGGACACAGGACATCACCTCTCCCTGCAGTTGAGCTACGCCTCATTTTCCCACCCTCTGTTTTAATAGGAAGAGGCCACTTATTTAGCAGCATTCCAGGCTGCTAGTTGAGGACCAGGTACTCGATTCCAGCCAGGTTCGGTGTCCAAGGGAACCCTGGTTCACGTGCACGTTTCCCAAGGTTTGCCTTTCCTAAGGGATATTTTCCACTGGAGCTTCCTTTAGCCTTAGCTACAACAGTGGGATTTCATGCAAGATCTCCAGCTCCTGTTCCAAGCAAACCCTATAACTTAGCAAGGTTTAATGCACTTTTTCAACACCTTGCAGAAGCACCCAGCTTATTGCACGCTTCCCAGGTCCACCTATTTTCCTAAGAAAGTCGGAATTCCCTGGAAATCTGCTTTGATACCCTCTGCTGTGGTACAAATTCAACGCTCCACCAGCACAACCCTGAATAATTTTACTTGTTTTATCGTCCAGCAAGAATCAGGACTTTATTATCTACATCGCACCAAAAAACAAAGCCAAACAACCAGATCCCCCCAAAAGAACCAAAAAACGTCCTCAAGGTGCTCAGAGAGTCTCTCTCTCACTGCAAACCTCCCATTGAGGTGTGCAAGCTCTCGCAGGTATCCAAGCTATCAATCCCAATATTTTACTGCACATTTAACAGCAATTTCATACAAGGCTACCGACGCAGAGAGAGCAATAACTTTAAAACGCACAATAAGTTTTAACATTCTTAATAAAAGCGGCTCTTTATAAAGATATCTGTCATTAAGGGCAACCTAACTTCGCTGTTCTCCACCACAGTTGTGGTGCAGTTAAACATAAACTCGTACGAATTATTGTTATTTCTTGGCAGAAGTAAAGAACCCCCTGAGGTTCATTTAAAACACACACACACACAGACACACACAAAATGAGGAATTAATAAAATATTGTATTCTTCTGAACCACATGAAGTTTTCTGACGTGTGTCTGTTGCTGATTACATCAATCCAGGCTCCATAACTTGTCATGTGATGACAGGCAAACACTTGTGAATTTATTTCTCTGAAGAAGCTTGCGATACAAATGCCAAGGAAACCAAAGCAAATGGCCAGGCCCAAATACATAAAAGCAGCAGGGCTTCTTGCAGAGATTTCTTTTATAGGTACAAGGGGGCAGGTACCCAATTCCCCTGGACTCCAGGGTAGCGTTTGGAGCCTAATCACCACTTTGGCTTGTCAAAGTCCTTGCTTAGACATAGTAAACAGAAGCATTTATTAAAAAAAAAAATGTAATTTTCTTTCTACTGCCTGCCTTGGAGTTTGAAACATTCCCGAAAGATAATGACAAGTAAAAACATGGATTTGATTTTGTGGGGTTTTTTTGCTTGTTTTTTTTTTTCAAATTGCAACAGAGCAACTTTTGATCAGTGCATTGTCCAAAGTGGGAATTGCACAAACTCCAAGCGCATTCTGCTCAGCTTTGGTAAATTAAATAAAAATCATGTGATGTCATTTCTGTTCTCTGGTCAGAGAAACAATGTAATTAGCCATGACTTGTCATTAAAGGCAAAATTTGGTATCGCACTTAGAAATATTACAACGATCAGCTGGAAATCATAAACATCATCAAATATTTGGGTTAAATTGTTTTCATCACATTGTCACGCCAATTAATTGTAGTTCTAGCATATTTGCGGAAAGCAAACATTAAAAATGGTAGCAAAACACAAACTGCATCGCTGCTGATGAAGGGATTTCCCGGCACAGGGCTCCGAGACGGAGCTGGGGCCGCAGTCCTGGCACGGAGCGGGGAGGGACCTTGGGAAGCAGACAGCAGCCCCCGGTTCCCGGGAGCGGACGGGCAGGGATGCGGCGGCTCCCGGGAGCGGAT